CGTTGGGGGAAGGATAGCAGACCGAATCAATGGCTACGACGATGCTTACCTCAACTCCACAGCGAGAGAGAAAGCAAAAAATTCATTAAAAATCTCAGAGAAGAGAAAAGCCCCTCACCTCCTCTCATCTCTCAATCAACAAGGTAAGTAGACCAAACCAAGCTTCTAGCTTTCTTCTCCTCCATAGATTTTGTATGGGCTTCGTTTCTCTGAAATTTCACTTTTTCACTTAAACCCATCTCCAAGATGCAAGCTTTAAGCTTCTTCGATTCAAAAGGGGCCTCTTTGGTTACCAGTTGTTTTGATTCTGGCATAAACCCTTCTTTTATTTCGAGGAGAAGGAAAAAGGGTCCGTTTGTTAGTAGTAGCAGTTTTCAGAAATCCTATGTTTCAACCAGCAATTTCGATTTGAGGAGTCAAAATCAAATTCTAAGACATGGGTTTATTTCAATTGGTGTTAAATCTCACGTTTATGGACCAAAGAAGGGATCTTTGGGTAGGTCGCTTGCACTGCCTTTGGCATTAGAGCAAGAGGTTGTCGGGTGTCAAAATGTTGAAGAAGTTTCAGACTTAGATGTGGCTGAAAGTGATGAGATAGTCAATGGAAAAGAGGGCGAACGTGACAATGTTGCACAACTGGAAGAGGTGAACGAGAGGAATGAGAGTGAAGTGGTTGAGAAAGGGAGGGTCGATGTTCGTGCATTGGCTAAGAGCTTGTATGATGTGAAAACTGCAGATGATGTCGAAGAATTGCTCAAGAATTCGGAAGATTTGCCTCTTCCTGTTTATTCATCCATAATCAGAGGATTTGGATTCGAGAAGAGAGTAGAGCCTGCATTTGCTCTTGTTGAATGGCTGAAGAGAAAGGAGGAGGATACCGATGGTGCCATTGGGCCGAATCTTTTCATCTATAACAGCCTCTTAGGTGCTGTAAAACAAGCTGAGCAATTCGAAAAGATCGATGGGATAATCCAAGAAATGAAATCACGAGGAATTCTTCCAAATATCGTGACCTATAATACTTTAATGTCAGCTCATTTAGAAAAGGGACATCCTAATGAGGCACTTTCTGTACTAAATGACATCCAGAAGATTGGCCTGTTGCCATCTCCCGTTACCTACTCAACTATTTTACTAGCTTATAGGGAGTTGGAAAATGCAAGTGGTGCTATCGAGTTCTTCGTCAAGTTGAGAGAGGAATACGAGGAGGGAATTTTAGGTGAAGATAAGGATTATGATTGGGATGCTGAGTTTTCTAAGCTTGAAAAATTCACAATTCGAATTTGCTATTTAGTAATGCGCCAATTTCTTGTCAAAGAAGACAATCAACCAACCAATGTGTTTAAGGTTCTTAGCGATATGGACAAGGCTAGGATTAAACCAGGGAGAGAGGAATGCGAGCGAATAATTTGGGCATGTACTCGTGCAGACCATTATACTGTGGCTCGAGAGTTATATCAAAGGATACGAGAAATGGATAGCGAAATTAGCTTATCAGTATGTAATCATGTTATATGGCTAATGGGTAAAGCTAAAAAATGGTGGGCGGCTTTAGAAATCTATGAAGACCTCTTGGATAAAGGGCCTAAGCCAAATAACCTATCTTATGAATTGATCATTTCTCACTTCAATATTCTACTTACTGCTGCAAGAAAAAAGGGAATTTGGAGATGGGGAGTTCGGCTAATCAACAAAATGCTTGAAAAAGGATTAAGACCTGGAGCTAGAGAATGGAATTCTGTTCTTGTTGCTTGCTCTAAAGCATCAGAAACTTCTGCGGCCGTGCAAATATTTAGGAGAATGGTCGAGCAAGGGGAAAAGCCTACTGTTCTCTCGTACGGAGCATTACTTAGTGCTTTAGAGAAAGGAAAGCTATATGACGAAGCATTAAGAGTTTGGGAGCATATGTGCAAAGTTGGTCTCAAGCCAAACTTGCATGCATACACTATTTTGGCATCGGTTTATATTGGAAAAGGAAAGCCTGAGATGGTGGATTCTGTTCTCCACGAGATGACTGAAGTCAGAATCCTACCATCTGTAGTAACTTTCAATGCTATAATTACTGGGTGTGCGAAGAATCAAATGAGTGGTGCTGCTTTTGAGTGGTTTCACCGTATGAAGGCTCAAAATATTAAACCAAATGATATTACTTACGAGATGTTGATTGAAGCACTTGCGCGTGATGGGAAGCCAAAACTAGCTTATGAGATGTACTTGAAGGCTCGAAATGATGGGCTACATCTTTCTTCAAGGGCTTATGATGCTGTTATGGAGTCATGTCGGTATTATAATGCAAGCTTAAACATGAATGCTTTAGGACCACGGCCATCAGAGAAGAAGAATGTGATAAAGATTAGGAAGAAATTAACAGACTTTTGTAACCTGGCTGATGTCCCGAGGAGAAGTAAACCCTTTGATGAGACTGAATTATACACTTCACAGATGCAAGAAAGATAGTTGCAAAGTGTGGCTACATTTACAAGGAGTCCATTTTTGATGTTAAATCTGTAAGTTAAAACATGCATCATGATTATCTTCAATCCAAATACATGTATACTGAGAATTGAGAAATGAATTAATTACTATAAATTACAATCTTCCAAATTTCCTAATATCTGTGCTTAAAGGTTAATACGAAAACTATTGCCTTTTTTGTTATTTCTATTATTTGGGTTGGTGGTAAAATGCATGTTACTATATTATTGCTTGCTTGGGGTGATAGAGCTTGTAAACTTGATTTATTTTTGTTGCAAGATTCATTTTTTTTTCTCAGGGCTTAAAAAAATCAGACTTGGCATAGTTGGGATCAGGGGAATTTTTGTGGCTTATTTTTAACACATGACCATTTTTGTGTTCTTTTTTGATAGTGGCCAATGTAGACAGATTAACAATCTCTACTCCACTCCTGCGGTCCTTGAGCTAGAAATTCCTATAGCCCAACTTTTTTCTTTTTTGCATTTTCATCTATTATTACTTTTCCATATCTAAAAGAATCTTTGTACATCAGAAAATAGTCCTTTTGTTCAGTTATTCATACCTTCCCAATTCCAAGCTTTGATTTTTGCAAATAAGTATTCCTGGTTGAAATAAAGATTTATGCTGAAACCATTTAGTTTTGAAACATAATTTGCAAGTTGAGCAGCTTGGTTAATATAATATACTCGGCATGTTATATAGTGTTAGAAATGCTTCAGGCCTGCCACTTCCAAGGAATTGGAAACATGTTTTCTGATCATTTGATAACTACTTCCTTTATAATCTTTTGTCTACAAAATGTGATAGACTAATGAAATATATTCTGGATATGACGTTTTATGGTTGAGCATTACCCTTGAATTCCATGAAAGGGTAGAATGGAAAAGTTGCAACAATTACATATAAAATCCAAAGATAACTAACTGATGAATTATACAATGCACCCTTACTGGTCCTATGCTATGAACTATCGACGTAATAGCTCATGCTAATTCTTGTATATATTTCATGTCAGAACGATCATTGCTAAGACATTATATTTATCTTATTTAATGTATTTTTTGTCATTCTATTCATGAGATTGTTATGTAGTATTATTGGTTTTGTCATCGATATATTGGCCTCCATTGTACACATGGATGCAAACTTCGTTTATCAGAAAGATCGAAATTTTTGGGTTATCATTAATGAACCTGTGAAATTGTTAGCCTGAATACCGAGACGTGTTGGTTGGACTGACATCCGCCAACCCTTACCGTGTGCAGTCTACTCAAAGAGCACAACCACACGACTCTTTCGCTCTGGAGTTTGCGGCAGTCTACGGTTTACCACGGACTATCGCCGGATCTAATTTGCCAAGTATGTTGACGATGAGCTTCTGCTTAAAATTACCACATAAAATTTTTGCACAGCGGCGTAAATATGTTTCTTTTTTGTATTTCTGCTGGGAGTCGGAGAAGATTTCTCTTTTTTACTTCAGAACTGAATGAATATGAGAAAAAATTTCTTTATTTACATTACTTCAAGACGAATCTCTCCGGAAAATATCATAGCTCCAAAACAAAATTAAGCAATACCTCACGGAAACAATATAGAACATACAATTTAAAGAACATAATGTCCACTTCTAAACTTTTTAGGCATGAAAATATCCTACAGTGTACAGACTCCAAGCAATCATGAGAAAGGATTATACCAATGTAAGATACTAACGTTCACAGAAATATCTGCATTCTACTGGCGAATGAACAAATCTGAGACTGATATAAATATGAACATTGGCATTTGTACAGCGTGCAGAATCGAAGTAGCAACAATTTTCATATTAAGGGATCGTTTGATGGGCAAAAAATTATAACCGCAAGCATTTTCTGTTCAAGGACCAAATTGGAATTGGACGGGAGAAAACGAGATGAAACACTTTTACATGATTCAGCTAATCAATAAAATAAGTATGCAATGCCAATATCTACTAAACTGATCGTGCTTAGAATCAACTTAACACTGTACTCATGAATACAACTCAACAGTGACCCGTTCGCATTCACAAGACAGTTGCTCATAAAACTAAGAACCACCAAAAGCATTGCAGAAAACAGTGACCCGTTCACATTCACAAGACAGTTACTCGTAAAAATAAGAACCACCAAAAGCATTGCAGAAAACACTACATGCATCCTAAGAAAAGCAAAACAACTACTGATCTTTCTTCTTGCCGTCCTTAAGCTGTCCTCTTTTGCGGATATTGAGGCAGAATCCAAGACGCCAGTTGTCAATTGCTGATTCGGGAAGAAGTGAAAGAAGACACCAGATGACAGAATGCGGCCAGTAGGGAGTGCATCTTGGTTCATATCCTATCCACCCCAGTGCAGCTCGAGCATAAGTATCTGATGATGGCACCAAAAACGATGACCTCCTTATTGATGCCATCTTTGTCGCTACATACAGAGGTACCTAGTTGCAACAACAAAAAAAATCAGGTCAAACACAAAACATAACAAAGGGATCTTAATGTCATAAATGTCAATCTATCCTTTCAAGTATCACTTCTGTGAGTTTCCATTCGTAAATTCTAATATGCACATTAGCAGAGACCATGACCCTCCATGATCAAGTTAAAGTCGTAAATGTCAACTCGAAGTGATTATGATTTGTACTTCAGAGTGCATACTGATACACCGGTGTATACTTTCATGTGCTTCACTATGCACATGATGCCTGAGAACTGGATATTATATATAGCCTAAAAGCCGAAGAAAATTGTAGATACCATTTACGCTATGGTTCTTTAAATGCTTAGATCTTCTATTTCATTAGATCTTCTATTGCATTAACGCTTAGATCTTCTATTTCATTAATCACTTGAGGCAAGAGAATTCTGTAATAATGTAACATCTTTCAAACATATCTTTAGTTAAAAAGATCAGGAACACCCGTTGTCACTGACCCATCATATTCAGATTACTATAGGTAGAAGAGCTCATACAATTCATAATAATAAAAATATAATAGAGTACTTCTCTTTTTATGATGCAACACAAATTCAAATATTATATCTGATGTAGATGTAAACAGATAACTAGAAACTAGATTTGATCTTCTGTCTTAGGATATTTATAGGATATTTCAATTCATCTTTTAGATTGAGTTATCTAGGCTTCAATTTTAATTGTATTAGAATAAATTGAGTTTGAATTTTAAATTGTCTTAGAGATAAGTTTCCAACTATATTTAGAGAGTTGTGATTTTCATTGTTTTCAATCAGCAGAAAATTTATGAAATAAATTTGAGAAAAGTCTTTAACGTTAGATTTGCTAGTCTGCTGGGCATGTGATTTGCCGAGTGTGTGAAGCCAAATAATGATTGAAAGATGGTACTGGCTTCCCCTTCTTCTCCAGTAAGTGGTATTGGCTGGCGTTTCATGTTAAAGTGTTACATCTGACCAGATCTACACAGAAGATATTAGATATGCGAATTCAGTGGACTGAGATGAATCATCAAATTCAAGCTTAGTTGTGACATTGGTTCCCTGATCAGGAACACGATTTCTGCTCAAACTCAGAACTTAGTTTTCCTCGGGTGTAGGTTCAACCCTCATGGTTACAAAAGAAAGAATCTCATTATATTCGTGGTCCGGTGTGACATCCTTTCGCTGTCTGAATCAGGAATTTTGTTTTCTACAGACCGAGATTTCAGTGATCATGATTTCAGAAGCAATAGAACTAGTTGATTTTGTTTTCCTAAGTTTGGGATTTTTCAGAGCTCATGCGGAAGCAATATAACCAATAGATTTTTTTTTGTTACTAAGATCAGCATTTTCAACTATCATAATTGAAGCAGTGTTCACAAGCAGGAAGAGCGCTCATGAGTGAAGAAGAAAGAGAAGCAGAGGGTTCTTTCGCTATTGGCTATATTGCTTGAACTCCCAATCTTCAATCACATTTGAATCCCTGATCACGGAACCAATGTCACAGCTAACCTTGAATTTGATTTTCGAACAACATTATCTACTCTAGTATGCATCGGATATAATTTTCGAAATTGTCATGCAACAGTCTGAATGTTATATTTGTAACATAGAATTTTTGGAGGGAGCAAAGGATCAGCAGAAGAGTTTAACATAAAGGAAAAGTTTTTGTTAAAGAGACTCAGCAAAAATTTTAGCCTGTAAACACCACATAAATTACAGGAATAGGAAAAATCTTTCATTTGTTTTAAGAAGATAAAGTTGAAGATTTAAAAAGACAAAATTGGCGGGGTGTTTCTGTACCTGGCACTGCACATCTATCCCCTTGTTCTTGTATTCTACATAGAGGCATCTCGAGAATTGATCAATGTACCTGAAAGAAAATGTCCACCTCTTGTTAAAGAAAATCTTAAAAAAGATGATCAAGGAAGGCATCCACTCATCATTTCTTTAAATTTGCTCCATGGTAATAATAAAATAACGAGAAAAGGAAATACTGTTAACTAGAGAGGGGTCAGGAGCAAGTCCTTTGCAAGTAAGAACTTATAAAAGCGAACATCTTACAATTTAGTTTTACTGAAAGAAGCTCTAGCAAAACTTAACATAACCGGGAATATTAGCACTTCATTCATAGGTTAGATTGTCAGTCTCAAATAGAAAGTTGTTCAGTCAAAATAACAACCTCACAAAAGATTCAACAAAATAGTACACCAAAAGTCAATTCTGGGGCTTTGATCACTGAACATCCTTTTTTTGTTCTTCTTATTTTTAGCTCATGGCCGGATAGGTGGACATGTTGGTATTCTGACTGTGGTCGGGCGGTTTTTCTATTTCTTCTTTTAAGAAAGTGATATTACTACCACAGGTAGTAATGCAGAAAACTATCTTAAGCATAATTTCTAAGAAGAGGAATGGGTTTGTCCATTTTTACATTTACTTTTAAGATGATTGAGGGCAAAGTCATGATGGTTTTCTTGAATTAAAATGATAACTCAAGTTACAGAAGATAGAAACAAAATTTTCACTCCACAACCTAAACAAGGCATTCACATCAGAATTACAAAATAAGAAAAAAAATGTCTATTGTGATTTATACAGTAGGATGATTAATTAGGTTTATGCCCTATGTAAATACTAGCTAACATAATTTTATATTTGCAACTCTATCCT